TTGGTCGTGCAGGGCGTCCAGTTCAAAAACTGTTGCTTGCCCTTGGCGGTGGCCCGTGGCCTCGAGGGACTGGAGGGTACGAGGACAGCCGTTCACAAGCGTGCAGGGCTTTGGATGGAGGCCCTACCGGACCATCTCCGGAAGCTGTCGCCAAGAACGAAGCAAAACCCGGGGAAATGTTGTTTGATGACTACCTCGCCAAGGTAGTAGAGGACGACGACTCCATGATCGCGTGCCTCATCATCCCCCAGGACAACATCACTCGCGTATGGGCTGGCATGAGAGCAGAACTGACGACGAGCAGAATGATCTTTCTGAAGTACCTGCCGGGCCATTTCACCTCCCTGGTGCCGAAGCATGGCGACCCAATGATGCTGTTGAAAGGTTTGCCTCCTGTACAGACTTTCTCGTTTATTGGCAGCACGGAGGTCAAGGAGAGTATATGTGCAACGCACAAAAAACATCCTGAGCACGACACTCGGACAAGCGATGTGTGTGTCGCATCAGCCAGTTTCGTAACTCGGCCATCTTGAAACAGATCGCACTAGGACAGATTTCGGAATGTGCGTCGAGTCAAGAAAACGCCTGAAAAGGCCCGACTTGGACAGGTCTCGGCGAGATGCGTCGAGTTGTGCCTCTGAGAAACGCTTGACCATCTCGCAGTGACGATTTTGACAGTCCCGATGAGCATCTGAAGCAGAAAGGAAAGGGGACATGCAGTGGGCAGCTGACTCACACCCGAAGTAACTCTTAGGCGTCGGTTGTGCGGACACGTGACAGAGTTAGTTGTCTGTAGTTGGACCCTCACGCAAGCCTATCAGAAGACCCTGCTGCGTGGAGATTGCTTGGCTCACAGCTTGATGTTGCAGCACATGACTGGACGACAGCGCATCCGTGGAGTGTAACTTTTGCACGGAAGAAGAAAGCCTTGCACCCGGCAGCCGACTTACATCAAAGGAAATCTCGATATCAAGCACATTTGACCCCGACTAGTTGTTTGTATCTAGAGCCCATGTCGGTCCATGACAAGTCCGTCCCATGTGAAGTTCTTGGCTTGCAGCGTGGGGTTACAGCACATGACTCGACGATTCTGTTCCAGACAACATGTTCATGCGATAAAGAACAGTATCGGTCGTGAGACAAGCACTTAACCAGCTCGAAGGAGTTCGTAACGCGAACGTCCACCCAAAGATCTTCGATAAGCCTAGTGACTGTCCGTCGCACAGTTTGAAGTAGCAGCCGAATCGCATCTTGTTGTTTGTCGCCCGCGGATGCGATGCTTGCTCTGCGGCCGGGCATATCACAGGTTTCCCTTAGTCCAAGCGCAGAGATCTCCCACAAGCTGAAAGGCTTTGAGACGCCATCGCTTTAGTGGCTGAGTCTTGAGCCGACTCTTGGCCTACGACCAGACAAAATTGGAAATCTCTAGTTCGACGCCGTATTTGTTCAGCTCGCTCTGCAGCCACGCATAGAACCACGAGTCGTTTCGAATTCCCGAAAGAGTTTCTGGCAGAGCGTGCACCCAAGCGGAGAGACTGACAAGGCCCGAAATCTCTAGTTCTATGCTCGCTATGCGGCCAGGCATATCACAGGTTCGTAGGGATCCCGACAAGCAGGGAACCATCAGAGCATCAAACAGGAAGGGAACCATCAGAGCACGCCGGGGAAGCATAAGACGAGGAGGGAACCATCAGAGCATTTCGATGGAGCGAGTGAACCATCAGAGCATCAGGAAGGAAGGGGAACCATCAGAGCATCAGACGAGGGGGGAACCATCAGAGCATTAGGGGGGGAGGGAACCATCAGAGCATCAGACGAGGGGGGAACCATCAGAGCATCAGACGAGGGGGGAACCATCAGAGCATCAGACGAGGGGGGAACCATCAGAGCATTTCGGTGGAGGATTTAAGGTCTATACCTATCCAGAGTATAGAGCGTACAGTTGCGTACAGGCATTTACAACGAGCCGACCCTCACAAAGCTCGGGACGCGAGTGAGACAAACGCTCGCTGTCGCTCGGTAAGCCTCGCCCGCCACAGATTGTGGGCTGGTTGGGCTCGGCTTAGACTTTATGAACCCTAAACCGAAGCCCTTCGAACAGCAGAAAAGCCAGGGCGAAGATCGCTGCAGGGCCTGCGGAGGCCAGCGTTGGCTCACCAAGAAGCCGAAGACAGCAGCGGCCCTCCGCGCGGCGCGAAGGGAACCTAGGCATTTTTGGGAGGAACTTTGCAGTTTTTGGAGTCTTGAACGCGGGATCGGATCATGCAAGTAAGTTGTTGCTGTTTTGGGTTGTAAGTACTTCAGGGTTATGTTTGGAAAATAACAGAAGTTGTCATGATTATCATATTTGGAGTTTGAACGCTTGTTTTAAAAAATCAAGATTTCGTTAACTGCCTCGAGAGCCGAGCCCAGGATTTGTCCAAAAGCGGCTCTTTGGGTCTCAAAGCATCGAGCCTTGCGGAGGAGCACGGCATCTGGGGCGGTTTGGGCCCGGATCGCGAGTTTCTGCCGCTCCCCCCGGCTCCGGAGGGGCGCAGCGTCCACCGCTCCGCGAAAGACACGGACGTGGACATCTTCGCCGAGCTTCTGGAAGAGGCATCCGAGAAGCCGAAGAGTGAGGAGAAGGAGACGTCGAAGGAGCCGGAGCCCCAAAAAAGGGAGGAGGAGGCTTCGAAGAAGGAGGAGGAGAAGGAAGACCCCTTCTTGGGCCCTTCGAAGTCCTCGGAGCAAGTCTTGCCGGCCTGGCGGGTGCAGGGCGCGCCGCTCTTCGCCGGGGATCCCGCGCCGGAGTCCCTTCCCCTGGGCCTCTCCGAGGCCGACGCCTTCGAAGATGCCGTGGGCCGCCTCGCTTTGTCGGGCTTCGAAGTCACCAAGCGCCTCGGCTGATGCAAGTGTCTCAGGGTGTGTGTGTGTATATATATATATATGTATGCGTGTGTATATATATATAAATATAAATAAATAAATAAATAAATATATATATATAATGTGAGCATCTGTGCTACAGCATCCATTTTCAGGGTTTGCTAGGAAGGGTTTTCGAAAGGGTTCTAAAAGAGTGAGGTTTCTCGCCTCTTTTTCTGGCTTGCGCTATAGATTCCAGATCACATTTGCCACGTGTCTCCAGAACGATCAGCGAGCCTTACACATAAACCCTCAAGCCCAGACTTGAACCGAATGCTGATCCATCCCCTCCGCTCCCCCCAAATGCTAAACCCCAAACCCCAAACCCCAAACCCCTAAACCCCTAAACCCCCTAAACCCTAAACCTTAAACCCTAAACCCCTAAACCCCTAAACCCACTGAAGCCTCAAGCTCTGGGTTTCCTTCGGCCCCAGGTGCCATCTGGCTCTTGAGGCTGCGGGGGGCGACGAGAATCTGGCCCGACAGTTTCTCCTGTGCCCGGAATGATCTCTCCAAGCCGCGAGCGCAGGAAAGAAGCTGCGAGGCCCCAAACCCTAAGCCCTAAACCCTAAACCTCTAAACCCCTGCACCCCTAAACCCCTAAACCCTAAACCGGGCCTGGCCTGACACAAACTGAGGGTTTTGGGGGTTTGGGCTGTTTGAGAGAGGCCCACTAAACGGAGCTTCTGAAACCCTCTTCTGTGGTCGTCTAGAAGGGGGGGGGTCCTGAGTATACAGGGTGAAGCGTTGAGGGTTTCAGGGTGCAGGGCTTTTGGGTTTAGATCCCTGCTTGACGACGTCTTTTCGGCACCACAACTTACAGGGCGCCATCGTTTGGCCCGGGATTCCGTCCATTTGTCAGGCATCAGCCATCATACATGCCACTCGATGAGAGTCTCAGAAAATCAGGGCCCCAAATGTAAAACTCAAAATTTGTAGGATCCTAAGCAAAGAACCCTTACCGAGCGACCCGAGATTCTCGGAAACCGCTGTATTACCCCCTGTATGCGAAACCCGAAAGTCCACGCCGTGGAGACAGATCTCAAAAGCCGAGCCTTTTGAACAAAAAGGCTGAGCTCAGGCACTGCGCTTAGGTTCAAGGGCGCAGGGCGTAGGATTTGGGGTTGAGGGTTCGTTAGGGTTCCTGAATATGGTTATACTGAAACATACCCGAAACAACCCGATTCTAAATTCTAAACACTCAGGCCCGCATATTAAGCGATTATACCGTTTTATAGTATGTTATACCGTTGTACCCCGAAACAAGCCTTGTTCTAATCATTCATCGAGGCCCTAAACCCTAAATCCCAAGCCCTAAAACCCTAAACCCTGTAAGCCCCAAAAGCCGTATAAACCCTGAACCGTAAAGCTAGGCGCGACGAACTGGACCTTCGGGCTGGACAGTGCCCTTCTCAGAGGGGTTCAGAAGCGTAGGATTTTGGTAATGTTGCGTGTAGTGTAGGATCTGAGGGCTTACGGTTTTGGGCCACCCCTGGGTAGCATAGCTTAGTGTTTCGAGATCATGCGGGTTTGCGTTGCGCTCGGGAGTGGGGAGTGTCAGCGCGGTCTGGGATCCTAGCCTCCTGCGCTGCGATTCCTTCTTCCAATTTGACTTCAACTCTCGCAATCCGCGGCTTGCTGCTTCTGAAGTGAGGTGAAGTTCATGACAGGGGAACCAAAATCCGTCTGTCTGTGAGGCCTTTGCATCCATATGTTTCTACCATGCATCGGACCAGGCCTGGTTGTAGCAAGATCAAAAATAACATCTTTAAATTTCCGCTACTGTCAGCGTCGTCGTACTCCTACCTCTTTAGGAGCTAGCCCATCAGCAGCTACAGTCAGTGTTAGGCGCCGTTAGTGTAGTACGAACCATTATGCCCGCTACTGTAGTACTACTGCAACGTCACCGTCACCGTCATCATCGCCATCGTCCTCATCGGTGCAGTGCTTTTCGTCATCACAAGCATCACCAGGATCTTGCCATGCCCCGAGCTTTGCGACTTAATGACGGGGGAAGCTCTTGCACTTCGCAGCGGATCCCTAGATCTTGAGCCCCTTACTGAAACGGTTAGTAGCAAGAGCTGGAAAAGCGCAAAGCATAGAACTTGTGTGCAGCTGCAGGTTGGAGCGGACCTCCTTGCAGTTTGATGCAACAAAGCGGTCCCTCGACGCAGCCAATGAGGACGGGATTGGTGAGCAGAAGGTGTGAGAAGAGAATCTGGAAAAGCTGTACCAGTTCCGAGGCTTTCTTGGTGATTGCTAGTGCGTCGCGTTCTCAACATGTCGTCTACTTCCGCACCTCAGCCAGCTCAAGCAAACTTGGGCATTTTGTGTGCGTGGAACTCTGGATCTTCGGCTAGCCTCTTCTTTAGGCCCTTCAGGCTTAGTCATTAGCCTTAGTCCGCCGTCATGGTCCGTGTCAGTGTGTGCGGCGTGTGCGCCAGTGCTGCGTTGCTTCTGTGGTGTGCTTCTGCCAGCCCGTCGCTGAGAGGGAACGAGACGAAAGCGGCCGAAGTGAAGAATTTGGCCGAGAACTTGACCAAGGCCAGCAGCTCAGCGATGGCAGTGACGAAGTCCACGGGAGGCAGCAATACATCTCTGACCAAGAACGGGATCGATTACCTGACGCGCTTCGAAATACACAAGTACACAAACTGTTACCGCGGCAATGGTGGTACTCTCACGACCTTGTCGAGTGGCTACATGGGGCGGTATGATACAGTGGCAGGTTGCGCGCGCGAATGCTATGAACACAGCTGGTGCTTCTGCTTTGTTTGGCAGTCCGCACCAACAGATGCCGGCGAATGGTCGACCTCGAGGAACAATTGCTGGCTCCGCAACAAGTGCGACATCAACTCCTGCCAGCGTGGCCCCTACAACACCTACAGCAAGGACTTTGACACGTTCACGTGGGTGTGAAAAGCAAAGGTAGCTTAGGAGACGGATGACTTAAGTTCCTCCGGCTGTAAAGCTTGTGTCGCCTGGTGAGCTGTACAGTAACATCATCTTGCGATACTTATCTCCATGGAAGCGGAACAGCAAGGACTGTTCCTGAGTTTTGTCAAATTAGCTCCCGCGCCACAAAGCAAGGCTTCAGCATACTGGCGATCTCGCACGCGTGTTATGTTTTCTATACATCTGTATGTGCAGCAAGAGATCTGGCAGAAACCCTTGGCGTGACAAGTTGGCAGATTTCGGGCACGGAGGAGTGTGTCTGGGAGGGCTTTGGCGGGGACCCTAATGGAAGATCCCAAAACCGAGAGCCAAAGCCCGAAAAGCGAAACCGTTTCAAAACAACAGAGGTGGGTGTGTAAATCCAATTCCCTCAACCTTAAACCCTTTACTCAAAACCCCAAAACCTGAACTCTAAATCCTAGATCCTAAACCCTAAGCCTTCGACGCAAAACCCCAAACCCTGAATGCTAAACCCTAAACCCTTATAGATGCCGTAAGGGACCCTTATCGATCCCTTACAGATCCTTCTAAGGATCCCTTAGATCTCACCCCCTAAACCCTAAACCCTAAGCCCTAAACTCTAAACCCTAAATAAACCCTAAACCCTAAGCCCTAAACCCTAAACTCTAAGCCCTAAACCCTAAATTCAGCGCTGCCGTCCGTGGTGATTACTGCTTGCTGCAGCCATGATGATATGGCAACTGTGGTGAAGACATTGCTGTTTTGCTCCTATACATTACGATGTTTGTGACCTGTTATACCCAGAATAGCACACTTCTGGTCTAGAGACTCCTTCATCGTAAACATGAAGCGCTACAGTGCGTTGCATGCAAACTTCTTGTATCACAAATCAAGAAGTGCAGCACAAGGTTAGAACATGGAACCCCGAGCCCGCCCTCATTGGATCCCGACCTCGGCTCTCGGCTGTCGTCCGAGAGGAGTTGCAGTGGCAAGCGACGAGCGCCGAAGCCTTGCGAACACGATTGACCGACGTCCTCCGGGCAACTTCGGCAGAGGTGTGGCTCCTGTTCTCCCAAGGAGGGTTTAGGGCTTTAGTTTAAGGCTCGGGTTTAGGCTTTAGGGTTGAGGTGATTGAATTCAGGAAGTTGGTTCACTTCTGTCCTCCCCCAGCTCCTACCTCTAGTTTGTCAGGAGACGGCTCCTTTGAACTCCCCAGGTCTACGTACGCATCAAATGACGGATTGGGGTTTTGGGTTTTTGGATTTAGACACGTAATACCAATAGCCATGTCAGTGAGGACTCATGCAGCTGCATCGACCTTAAAACCCTAAACCCTAAACTCCATCGAACCTTCCATAATGTCACACACGAATGATCGTGCGCCTAGGATCTCCACGCAATCATCCCCGAGTCGAATGCAGAAGCTTGAATAAATACCGATGTCATTCCCTAAGGTTCCTTGTTATGGTCCAACAGTTCTACAGTTACACTACATCTAATGCAACATACCCTTTCTATAGTGATACTACATCTAATGTAATGTACCCATTCTACAGTTATACTACATCTAATGTAGTGCACCCCCCCCAAAATCCTATTCTCGATAGTAAGACCCCTAGTCTGGGGAGCTCCTGCTTCAGGAGCGCCGGGGGCAAGAAGCCTTTGCGGAGGAAGCCCGTCGAAGCAGCTCCCTGCAGGTCGGGGGTGTCGGAAGGGTTGATTTTCTAGGTTCCCCAGTAGTACCCTTTTGCCCTTTTTCTTTTTTGGTTTCCTTAATGCAAAACAATAGTAGGAAAAAGGGTACCCTTATTGTTAAGGAGTTACTCGTGTGTCTGCTTCGTTTGTCTGCTGTTGCCGTTTGCTCGAGCATTGTCCTTGGTGTTGCCTGAAGCGCCATGGTGTTCAGGGTTGAACTGTCTATCCATTGGATGATCTCCTTACCGGCAATACCAGATTGCACAGTGTGGCGTAGCTGACTCATCACTTTGGGCGATGTCTGGCTGGACATGTTCCGTTGCAGGTGTTGTATCTGTTCATTTCCACCTACATGTATCCGTTGTTCTCATATTGAAGTCTGCCTCTGTCGCTTGTCATGCTTCTTTGTGTGAGAACTGCCTGTCGCAGCTATGTGTAGGTTCACCTGACTCGTTCACTTGCTTTTAGACTCGTTGGTCGATTGTCTGACTTGAGATGCTAACCCTAAACCCTAGACTCCCCAAACCACCGATCTAGACGCTGATGCCGAGGCTGGCGATAAAGAGCAAGGTTGATATGAGCATGGAGAAAGAAATCAAAATAATGGTGATGATGATGACACCCATGATGACGACGATGGTTGTTGGGATCATCATGTTGTTGGAGGCTGATGCTGGTGACAACGACGATGAAGATGGTGATGCTGATGGTGATGATGTTTTCGAACCAGTCTGCTTCTGCAGCATTGGGTGGAGCTTGGTGGGGAGTGCGGTTTTATTCAGGGCTCAGGGAGCTCACGCTGGGAGCAGGTTCCAGGCGCGGAGGAGAATAAGATCCGGCCTGCCGGGCTATTTTAAGATCCCGAAATTTTGCCAACATCTGGGCTTGACCGCTTCCCTCCACCATTTTTCCAGCCTATACCCTAGACCCAAAACCCCAAACACCAAACCGAAAGCCGAAACCCGAAGAACAAGTCTGAGCCCTAAGCCCTAACCCTTAGCAATGCTTCTGTACGGTCTTTGGGAGTCAGCTTTCAGGTTGGAAGTTTTGGAACAGGGTTAGTACAAGAATAACAAGGAACACCAATCAAGGCCTAATAATAAGGCCCCAAGCCTTAGCCCTACGCCCAAACTCGCATGTCTCACCTGAATCTCGGGAATCGTTTAGGATTTACGGACTTGCGGATTTTGGTGTCTTCTGCAACCAGGACCTGCTCCAGCGGTGGGCTAAGATGAAGCCCGGGGCTCCACTGCCTCCTGCTTTCCTGCAGGCCTGGGTTGATTGGGTTCGGAGATGGGGTTGGAGGTTTTGGGGGTCGGAGATGGGGTTGGAGGTTTTGGGTTTAGGGTTCAGGGCACGTAGTAGTCGAGCAACAAAGAGGTCTGAACCATCGGCAATGGTAACGCAAGTTAGTCAGTACTAATATGAATGTGCTGTAGTTTCTTTCCGAACCCTGTTCAAATTAGTAAGGTCCCTGCAGTAGGAAATCTCGAGCTTCGGGTTAGTCAAGTCTCCGTCGTGTACTATCCATGTAGAGCGGACAGAATATGGCGGGTTCATGGCTTAGGTGTTTCAGGATGGACTGTGATAACTTACGAAAACCTACGCCGTGTAGGAAGCCGTACAGCTTTGTGGAGCCCTTGCAGCATGTTTTTGCTGATGTCCTAAGACCCTACAAACCCCAAGCCCTAAACCCCAAAACCCTAACCCCTAAACCCTAAACCCTAAACCCTAAACCCTAAACCCCTAACCCCTAAACGGCCCTAAACCCATACATCCAGAGGAGACCTGGGGGCAAGTCCTGGGTCTTGTGCGAAAGCTGGGGATCCAGGGACGCCACGTGCACCGTTTCCATGAAACCCAGAGACTCCAATAGGCCTTAATGAAGGAATATACCCTTAAATCATATTAGGGATCCTGCTATACTTTAAGGTATATTCCTTAGTTAAGGGGTATTGGAGTCTCTGGGAACCCCAAGACCCCCCGAAACCTCCTTTTCGGAAGCCCTAAACCCCGAACGCCTGATCTTTGGGGTTCAGGGTTTAGGCTTGAGGGAAATGCCTAAGACTCCTAAACTCTTTCCGACGCCGCCGTAGACCCAAACCCTAAACCCCTAAACCCCTAAACCCCTAACCCCCCTAAACCCCTAAACCCCCTACACCCCGAAACCCCCTAAACCCCAAACCCCGAAACCCCGAAACCCCCGAAACCCCAAACCCCCTAAACCCTAAACCCCGAAACTCCTAAACCCCAAACACCCCAAACCCCCCAAACCCCGAAACCCCCTAAAACCCGAGTCTCGAGCTGCGAGGCGCAGCAGCTCCTGCGGCCCAGCGTGAGCAGGGACGAGGTGGCGCTTTTGGGACCGAAAGCCCTAACCCTACGGTTGATGATATACATCCTGCATTACCTTTATAAGAACCCTAAACTATGGGAATTATGGCATAGTCCGTATTATGGGTAATGCAGAATTTATATCATTAGCCCTAGGGCTCAAAATAGCCCAAAAGCCTTATATAGTGTGGTCTTTGCGCCCAAAAGCCTTAAAATTTGAGTCCTTTGAGCCTTAGGGTAAGCCTTTATAGCCCTAGGTTCCGGGGGCCACGTCAAGGCTGAACCGGCATCCAGTGCCTGGGATTTGGGATGGTTCAGGGTTTAGGGTTTGGGGTTCGGGGTTTAGGGTTTGGGGTTCAGGGTTCAGGGTTTAGGGTTTAGGGTCCAGCAATTTCCAGGGCTCATAGGGCTTAGGGCTTGGGTTTTAGGGATTTAGGGTCTAGGGTCAGGGTACCTCCAAGTCTCAGTCCCAAAATCCCACAGCGCAAACTCCCGAAGTCAAAACCTTAAACCCTTTACTCCGAAAGCAGAAGCCGTGGCCTCCAAACCTGAACCGCCCGCCCCGAAGCCCACGCTTCCGAAAAGCTAGGACTTACTCACAAAAAACATTAAGCGTCACGATCATCACCATCACCATCATCATCATCATCATCATTACCATCATCATCGTCATCATCATTGTCATCATCACCATCACCATCACCATCATAGTCATCATCATCATCATCAGCAGCAGCAGCAGCATCGTCATGAGCCAATCGACAACGGTGACAATATCATAGTAAGACAACCATATAGGCTCCTTCAGAAAGCACCCCTTATGAAGCAACGCAGCAAACACCACAAAGCCCCATTAAACCGACCAAGCCCTCATAAGCCTACAAAACCTCGATAAGACGCCAACAAAACCCTCACAAAATTCCTTTAGGATCAAAAGAATCTCTTTGGAACCCCATGAACCCAAGCCTTCAGGAGCGAACAAGAGTACAACCGTTGCAGCCAGAGCACGGCTCTGTCAGCAACATCGCCCCCTAAACCCTAAACCCTGAAGCTCCGATCCCGTAAACCTCTGCTACCAACCCCTAAACCCAAAACCCAAAACCCTAAGCCCTAAACCCTAAACCCTGAGCCATAAACCCTAAGCCCTAAGCCCCCAACTCCCGGAGCCTTTAAGGCGAAAGGCAAGCCTAATATAGAGGCCTTAAGAATTAGAATAGGGTCTTGGGGCCCAGTATACTGGATTTATAATAAGGAACCCCCCCCTAAAAACCTATTCTAATTATGAAGGCCCCTAATTACGCAGCCTTCCGAGCAGTCCTCCCCAGGAGCCCAGGTCTGGCGAGAGGGAGAAGGCGGAGTTTTTGGGATCGGCTGTTTAAAGCAGAGACTTACCCTAACCCTCCAGGTACCTACTATAGAGGGTACTATGTAGTAGGTACCTGGAGAGTTAGGGTTAGGGGGATTACTGCAGAGACTCAGGGCGTAGGGTGCTGGGGGTTCAGGGTTTGAGGGTTCAGGGGTTTAGGGGTTTAGGGATTAGGGTTCAGAGTTTAAATTTAGGGTTAGTTGCGGGTTTAGTGTTCAGGGCTTTGGGTTTAGGGTTTCGGAGTAGGGCTCAGGGTTCAGAGTTTAGGGTTAGTCGAGGGTTGAGGGTTTGGGGTTCAGGGTTTAGGGTTTCGGGCTTTAGTTTGGGTTTAGGGGAAGTTGTGCTATTTTTGTGTTGGCCCTGGCGGGGTTTGTGTGAGTGAATGAGCGTCCGGAAACTTTCTGGCAGCGGCAGATGAGAGGGGCGAAGCCAAAAAGTAACACCACCTCGGCGGCCTCAGCCCCAAGACCGCGAGTGTAAAATTTTGTTGTGGCCGCAACAAAAATCACCACGCCGGCAGGCCCCCACCGCTTTGAGTGAGTGAGCGTCCGCGCGGGGCCGCGCCACCCCGGAGCATAAAGCACAGCCCCAGCAGGTTTTGGCTTCAAACACTGAGCAAAAAGACTGTCTACTCTGACATACGTGTTTTTGTTGTGCTAAGCGCCGGCCGGATGGTTTCAACCATTTGGCCGCGGGACGACAGCAACACACCTTCTAAAGGCGGAGGACCAGTGGCAGGGGCCAGCAGCAAAGAATCGGGCAAACCCAAAAGAGTACACCCTGGGCTTAGGGTGTGCAGAAGTGCATTCCTTGTTGAGTTCGCCGGTAGTGTGCAACTTGCGGTCGCGAATCATGATCCCCAACCCGAGTCGCCTTTCGAGTCTGAAAGTTCGAGTTCATCGTCCTCCTTGAGGCACAAGCTGTCATCACTTGATGTTCTTGTAAGGCTGGAACGCGGGCACATGTATCTCTACCATAATGGACAACCCTAAACCCCCTAAATCCCTAAACCCTTGCCCCTAAACCCTAAACCCTAGCCCCTAAACCCTAAACCCCTGAACCCTAAACCCCCAACCCCCAAACCCCGGCAGTTTAAGATAACGTGTCGACGAACCTTCGCCCCGCAGGCCAAAGGCGAGCCAAAGCCGACGGCAAACTGAAGCCCTCATTGTCGCATGTGGGTAGTTCTCTGATTTAGGGTCCCTTTTGGGGTCTGCTTAGGGTTCCTTAAAGGGATCCGAAAGGGCTTCTATAAGGGCTCTATACGGGAAGTTCTCTAAATTAGGGTCCCTGTTGAGGGTCCCTTCTTTGTAAGGGTGCCGCTTTGTTTTGGATTCCTAAAAAGGGACCCCCCCCCCCGAATTTAGAGAACTACATAGGCTGTGGGTTTAAAGCTTAGCCCGTGGATAGGCTGGAAACCCGTGAGGCTGCGGCGGGTTTCCCCAGTTAGTATCTCGAGCTCAAAGAAAAAGGTGCTTGGTTTTAGGGTTCAGGGTTTAGGGTTTAGGGTTTAGGGGGACTTGCCTGTGTTCTGTTGGACCGAAGCTGTACATAGCACGATGCAAGCCTTTGCAAGTTCAGGAAGTGTATCAGTGAGCCACGAGCATGCCGTCACATACAGCAGCAGCAGCATGAGACACATGCATGTGCATATGCACATGTACACATGAAACAACTTTCCGACCATGCTTCTGATTCGCAAAACTTGCGAAGGCACGCATACTTAGCATCTCGAATGAAATGCCGCAGCACTTGATGTGGTGCAGCCGAGGTGCAAAATGGTTCATGATCCAGCATCGAGAAACGCTGTCTCGTAAAGCAACCAGAAGACCTTATGAGCCTAGCATCCTAAACCCTAAACCCCTAAACCCCTGAACCCCTAAACCCGAAACCCTAAACCCCTACTAAACCCTAAACCCCTAAGCCCTAAGACCCTAAACTCTTGAACCTTGACAATCTGTAATCTCTACTTCAGTCCCGAGCTCGGCTCCCTCCGTCCCAGCCACACTAGGTCTCTAGACTAGGGACCCCTTTTTAGGTCCCCAAGATCGTACGCCACCTTTATAAAAAAGGATCCTAAAAGGGACCCTAATTTAGAGAACAACCCTGTTGTTATCTTTTATGATGAAGGCCTCCGGGTTCAAGGCTCGAGGTTCGTGGCTGGAGGGTAATCGGGCTCTGGGCTCAGAAGTTTTAGGGTGTTGGGGTTTAGGGTTTTGGGGCATGGGATTTTCTGAACCTTGGCCTGTTGCCTTGGAAACCTTGGGAGCCCTTGACCGTCGCCGTGGCTTCGGGTTCAAGATTTGTTGAAGCCTTGGCACGACAAGCTGCCGAGTTGCCCGCACTTTGTCACCTCGTCCTGACAACGAGGCCGGCGAGGGAAAGGCTTTGTTAGGGGATTTTTTAAATTTAAGTTACCATAACAGGGATCTATAGTAAATAATAGGGATTCCTATAAATCCCCCAACAAGAACCCAGAAGGTGCAAACCCGGAGCCCTACACCCGAAAGCTTGACAGCTCTGAGTGACA